GGTCTGTGGGGCCTCCAGACTCTCCACCCATAGATCTCGCTGCTCCGCTGACATCCTACAGTTCCACTTTTCACCTCCTCTTGTACCTTGAAAGTCCCACGCTGTTCAGATATGGCATCTGTTTTTTTTTTATCATGCTTTGGTCCCTCCAATGCTAGGTGAATATTGGCATTGCTAAAGGCACGGTATCAGGAAATCACTGACGGGTGCTCAGAAGACAGATGCCTGCAGCAGCCTTGGGATATGCAGATTCCTGCACGACGAGGAATTCAGAGGCTTTTAGGTGAATTGGGCGATATGAGGAATAGTTTTCAGAGATATTAAAGTGACTTTCTAATCAGGGCAAAGATGCTGGATTGGATCTTAGCACAAGTACTAATAAATTCTACCCAAATTGGCACACGGCAGTGCCTTTTTCTGATCCACATTAATTTCCACGCGGCACATTCTAGACTCCCAGGCAGACGACTCCCAGGGCTCACAAATAGCGTGAAAAGTCCTTGATGTCATTAGTCATCGGAGGAAATATTTGCGTAACCACTCCGAATCGAGCATGTATTTGCCTGCATTTTTATGACGCTTTGTCTGAATATTCTTTTAAACAACGGTTCATTTGTGCAAGTGCTCCAGGAGAGGGTACAAGAGACGTTCTGACTCGTGGGCACTATTGAAACTAATTCCAAGCTCTCATTTGAACAAATGTTTGCAAATTCTTTTCTCTGGTATTTACACAGTTCTGATCTAAGCTTCATTAGCTCAGCAGATTCATTTCTGTGCTCTGACACCTCGCTGGCCAGCTGGAACCTCTGAATATTTCCTTGTGGCATTTTCCAGGGGAACCCTGGGGAGAGTCAGCCACTCGCTGATAAGAAATGCAGAAGTGGTGAAGTGTTGGTGTTGTCCTCTGCTGATGAGCCACATCCGAAAGGACCACTTCTCGTGGTATTTCTGCCCAAAGCAGTTCTGAATCCTTCGTAAATGCAGTTTAAAAACAGAAAATAAGTCAACTTCTGTAGGTATATGTAGTTTTCCTTGTACATAGAGTCTGTTACCGGTAGCACAGCAGTCTAGGAGTCACAGCAGTGTGCTCAGATAGACACAGAAAATGACAAAATGACAAATGCGTTATCCTGTGCAACTTGCAAGGGTAGAAAAGAGCTATGAACAGGTCATTAATGCATGCCCTATGGACCCATGAAGTTTTGGTGAATTAGAAAGAAACGAGTCCTTCTCCCTGCAATGCATATACATCACGTTTAGATATTTGTAAAACTAGCTGCACGCATATAGGTAATAGTCCGTGTAGCTGCTTTTTGCCATTTTTAAATGGTTTTAGGTGCCTGCCTGAAACAGGCACTCATAACACAGGCCTAGGGCTTGAATCTGAGCTCATCACTGGCAAAAGACCATTGTCTGTCTCCTGAGTGCTAACAGTGGCTTTGGTTTTGCCATGCTGGGAATAAGATCAGAATATCCATGTATGCCTGATGCTGGGCTAGATTGTGGTGTGAAATGAAGACTGAATGTGCTAAGGCTGTGATGAGTGGCCTCACCTGTGTACTACCTCCAGCATGCACCTTTGCTAAATTGCAGGTAGCCCTTATACAAGTGGGTCTTCTGCGGGTGAATCTGTAACCGAGTAGTGGGGTTGTCTGTACAAGTTTTGTTTTTACTGTGTTGAGTAGTACTCCGCGATGTCAGGAGAATTTTATCGCAATATTTTTTTTTTGAAATGAAAAACACATCCCTCAGGTGAATGTTTGAATGGGAACCCAGGAAATCAGAAACGTGGAATGCAGTTATTGTCGTCTGTATGTGTCTTTTTCCTTAATGGCCTTGGCCAACGCTGGAAGCAAACTACATCCCAGAACGTGTTTCCTTTATTATTTTGCCTGGTTTAAACTTCTCGGTAGGAATCAGCCTTCAGAATGCAGTTACGATGCTCCCGAATCCCAGCTGCCTGGATTTGAATCTCAAGCCATCTCTTCCCACTAACTGCTCGGTTGGTTCAGATTTAAGCTGCAGGCTTTGGCCCTTCTCAACCTTCTAAAAGCATGCTTTAATCTCCTGAAAATCATGAGCCTGATAGCTCCTGGGTGCTTTAATTAAGTGAAATGAAAGATGTTAATTTCCATAAATAGAAGAGCTTCCAAGAACAGCACCGGGGTTCCAGCCCAGCCACCCACCCGAACGCGCGCTGTGAGAACAACCTCAGCCTAATTAACGCTCCCTGGAGGAGGGAGCAAGGGTGGCTTGAACTTTATCCTGAAAGATGCCACTGATACGGTAATGAGAGAAAAGGGAGAGCAGGTTTTGAGCGCCCTGTCAATGTGATAAAGAGCAGGGAAGATGGAGAGCACTTCTTTTATCTACCAAGTGCTTTTAGTAGAGCGTGTGGCACCAGCAGCGCCAGTACCACCAGCAGCACCAGCACTGGTACCGCCAGCACCACCAGCACCAGTACCACCAGTACCACCAGTACCACCAGAACCCGAAGCCCAGCCCCAGCACTGGCCTAGCCTGACTGTGGTGACTCCTTTCGGCCAGGTCATGATTTTGAGTCAATACAGACATCTAGTGGCCGGAGAGCTGGAAGCCGCCCGGTTCCTTGGGGAAGTTCTCTCCTTGCACCACCTTCCTTTCCTATTTTTTCTTATTTCTTTATTCACTTTAAGGAAGACAAAAGCAAGATCTTAACGTGGATCCTTATCTGTGTGCCACATTTCCTTTGGTCTTACTTTGCCTTGAGCGGTTCTAAAGCTTTGTTGTGGGAACACTGAAGTGAAAATTCAAGGCCATTTTCATAGGAATCCAGATCCTCTTCTGGAAACTCAACATTATCTCATCATTGCCACTGAAACCAATTTGTGCAAACTAAAAATTTCATCTGTGCTGAGCAAATGAGGTTAAAAATGACTTAACACAAAGCTTCTAAAAGACAGGGACCCCCAAGCAGAGTGAGCTGTATTATGAGATCAGACAAATGGGGAGCTGCTACCAGAGGGCTTACCAAGAATTCTCCCAGTAGCACCGGCAAAAAGCAAGGCAGGAAGCTTCTCGTTCAGTCTGGTTGCATCTGGTTCTGTCCTATCCAACCCACCTGTCCCTGTTCCCCAAGAACAGATGCCTGGATTTATTTATTCTCATAAGTGGAAAAATACGATTTTCCCATTGATTGTTGTAAGCCCTGAAGTCCCAGTGTGCCAGTGGGTTTTCATTCTGGCAGCCAGCATGGCACGTTTGGCTACTTTCAAGTTACAAAATTAAACTGTGTCATCTCTGCTACCTATGCAGCCATCCTGGCTTTGGCAGCGGCAGAGGATGCATCTGCTCTGCAGAATCCAGAATCCTCATTCGTGCTGCTGGAGGCAACAACTGAATTTGGCAAAGGGTGCTCCATCATCAAAATGCAGCAGATCAAAATCCTGAATACTTTTACCCCCATGCTGTACAATGTTCTTCTGAGCTGGAATCCAGATCTGAATAGTAAAAACTCCCTGATTTGGAAGTGTTCACAGAGCTTGTTTCAAGGAAGGGGAGAAAAACATGAGCAGGAAGACTTCAGCCTGGTGATGTGAAATCAGGGCTGCAGCTGAAGCACTGTGGCAGCATTAAAATTCTCTGCTTACCACTATCAAACCGGTTGCTAGAGCAGTTGGAGAGAATTTATTTTGTGGCTAGTGGTTATTTCTTTGTGCTAATGAAATGGGCATTTTTCTTCAGTGAATTGAATCACAGCTAATTGAGTAGCAATCAGCACAGGCCCCCAAGTTCAGATAAATGTTGCCTTCCTAATGCTTTGTAGAAATGCAGAATCCATTAACTATCTTCAAATGAGATTATTTTTTTTTAAATTAGTAGAGTCTTAGCAAACCATTACAGACAGCATTTGTGCCGTCACAAAGAACTTTCCTATTTACTTAACACTGGGAGGGGAAATTTATTTTCAATTAATTCAAGTGCTCTTAGGTTTTACGGTTTGTTTTCATATTCCAGACAGAAATATGAGTTTCTCATAGGTGAGTAGGCCTTTCTTTGTTCAGCTCATAATTTTCTTTCTTATGTGTTCGTAGAAGGCAACAAGTTCCCCTGCTGATAGCCACTGATTCATCTCAATGAGTCTAAAGTACCGGGAAACTTTTTTATTGCAAATCTGCCTTGGCTTTTGCACCCTGCCTGTACCTAAAACCAACTCAGCCCCATTCAGCAGCACTAAATTTCCTTCTGAAAAAGCCCCAGACCTCTCTCTGTGATTCCTGACGCTCACAAGCTTGATTCACATCAGCATTTGCTCCCGGTGACATTCAGTCGCAGGGCTCAGGCTGTCTGCTGGGAGGGGCTGGGAGCCCCTGCCCTCCCCATCAGCGCTCAGACCCTTGCATCGGGACCACGGGGAGAGAAACCTGAATTTATCTCCATGGCAGCTTAAGGGAGCTCACCAGGTAGCCAAAAATTCGGGGCAGGATGGAGCCAGTGGCTGAGAAATAAACAAAATAATGTGCTGATGCGTTGTAGAAGAATGGATTTATGGCTTGTGACACTCCTAAAATATCTTTATGTAATAATGAAAACTTCATTATCCAGCCCTGTGCCGAAGTGTTGCCATGGGCCCGCCGCAACTCCCCGGGAAGATCTTTCATCCTGACAGAAGTTCTAAATTACAGCATTAGTGCTCTAACGGAGAGGAAGTTATGGCCTATTTTGTCTGTCCAGGGAAATGAGGCACACATTGCTATGGAGTAGGTTATTGAAATCTAATCACTGAGAATATTAAAAATAGGGTAGCAAAAAAAAAAATACTCTGTGTGAGCACTGGGGATAAATTAAGTGATAAACCTTGAGTGTTTACCGGAGTTTCATTATTTTATGAAAAAGTGATTCATCTTTATTACAGTTGAGGCTATTATGTTTCACATCATTAAGGAGGCAATGCATGGAGACCGTAAAGCTAATTTTCAGTCCAACTATCAGAACACATTATGTTTTTATTTTTATCACAGGTATTGCAGCATCCTCTGTGACTGCGTGTTCTGACCTCCAGAAACGTTTGATCCGTAATGTTTTAGAGACAATGAAGTAAAACCAACATGTGCTCACCAACTAATCATCAGCGCCACGTGTGCTTGGGCTGCTGCTCCTGCTGTCCAGGTAAGAGCTCTGTTATTTGGCTTACAGCCGTGGTGCCAGGCCTGAATGTGCGACCTCAGCTGCGCATCTCCTCTCTGACCGCTCTAACCCCATGGCTGAATGACTGGGAATAAAAAATCTTGCCTGTGTTTGTAAGCAATGGAGCAGCCAACCATATGCAGCACTGCTTGGGAAGTTTAGTTTTGTTTTAATTATTGTGCGTTTGTGTGAGTCCTTCTTCTGGTCTTCTTCACACAGACTGGATTTTGCTTTGCATTTTGGCAGATCCAAACCCATCAGTTCCTCACAGTTCCCAGGCAAACACGTGCTGCTTTGTATCAAAATGTTGTAAAACTTTCCCAAGACTTGTGGCTTGGGGTATGCAGAACCATCTGGAACCAGGCAAGCTTTGCCTGGCTTCCTCTCACTGCGAGAGCTTCACTTGGCCCCGGTAGTTCACAGCCAACTCCTGAGGTTACTCCTCATTGCAGAGCAGAAGCAATGTAACTGCAGAGCTGTGGGAATACTTCTGGGAACACTCATTTTAGCTTTTAAGTGGTTTTGCCGGGCTAGTGTCCCTGTGCAAGTCCGGGTTCCAAAAATACCACAGTGAAGGTGATTACTGGCAAAAGCCTTTGCTAAAAGGGCAAAATTTAAATAAACACTTGAACTCATTCATAGGAAATTAATCTGGAATTTACATTTGTAAATATTCCTGTCAAAATCTGTGGGAGATCACCGAGAAACTCTGATCCAGTCATGGCAGAGTTTAAACATCTGTGTAAGGGACAGAGCATGACCTGCAGCCCTCAGGGCCCGTTGCTCAGTCCAGAAATTCAGACTCATATTCTGACGTAGGTACTGCATAGGCTGATACAGGGCAGCTTTTGTGTACTCTGAAATGAATTTCCTTGCTTTGTGGGGTCCCCTCTGCTGCCCAACAGTTCCTGTGCCCACCTCAGCCACCTCCTCAGGGACCCACTTTGGTCTCTGGGCTCCCTGCAGTTTTATCGTGCCATATCATGACAAAGCCGAGTGAAGAAAGGTGTTGATGCAGGACCCCCAACTGCTGAAAGAGTGCAGGAGTTCAGTGAGGGTAGAGCACCCTCTCTAGCACGGCCCTGGTAGGACACCCAGCACCGTGATGGGACTGCCGGAGCCTCATCCCTGCCTCCTCACTGATGCCTCTGCCACAAAAGCTCTCAAGGAAACCCTTATTCAGGGTGTGCAAAGAGGAAAAGTCTGATTGCAAGGTAATTGCAAGAGCAACATGTATCTTCTGGTGGATTTTCTGAAGGAAAACACGCTGGTGGAAAGGGCACGTGTGGGTGTTCGTTGTCTGGTGGCATTTCTGAGGACAGGGATCTGCAGATTGAGGTTACTGGTGGTATCTTCCAGCGATACGAGTGGCAACGGGGGACCAGTCTGCGAATTATCTGCACGTGTTATGCAGACCAAGAAGAGGTAATTGCCAGGAATGCCTTGGTCAGGATTTTGAAACAGATAACAAGATCACTGCAATAAAACACAAACGCAGTAAAGAGAATATACTGCTCCTGGTATCTGGTTAATCAATGGGCTGTGAAGAGGCTGAAGTGATAAACTGGCTATAATCAGGGCTAATTTTATGCAATATAATACGTTCATAGCATCAGTCTATTTAAAAACAATTTTAACCGATTTTTAAAAAGCGTGAAGTCATTTGGCACTGCTCAGTTTCAATACATACCTGAAAACAGACAAGGAAGGCAGGAACATGTCCTTACCATACATGTATAATTTAAACAATATCATCAACGGAGTATTGATTGCTGAGTAATGTGCTTATTAATTAATAGGTGTCTTCATGTTAAATACATTTCTCAGAGCTGTTCTGGGACCATTTAATAAGATAAATAGCGAGGTGTAGCAGAGCACTTTGTCATTACATTTGTGTCACATCAGAAGGAGACGTGAAGCACACGCCTCGAGTAGTGGTTTGCTGGAATGTGCCACAGAGCAGCCGATCACAGAGGCTGCCAGAGTGCAGGGTGGCCCCGTGACAGAACCCAGCAAAGATCGGTCCAAAATGAAAAATGAAGCTGCCTCTCACCCAAATTTCAGGCAACTTCTGCCTCTTGGTTCTGCTTATCCAAAATAATGCCCTGTGTTTTCTAAATCACACCAAAAAAGCCTACCAGACACTGGGGAAGCCAGGAAGGACCTTATTCTGCTGCTCTGATCTGTTACACTACTGCACTTACGGATGCCACGATAAAACCAGTGCAAAGCAGGAGATGGGAGTCCTAGAAACAAATGTTTAGTGTGGATGCTCAGTGTATTCCTGCAGGAGTGAGGATGCAGAGAAACCAGCCGTAAAGTTGGTGATGATCACGAGCCCATTGCTCTTGACCTGTGCTTTTTGTAAGCCCCGCAGCAGGCTGTGCACCCCCTCGCTGGCTGTTCCCTTAGCAGGCCAGATGCTCAGCCTGCAATTACCCCTTCCTCTCTCTGCAGGCATGCACTGCTTTGCTATTATTGTCTTCTTGGTTTTATTTGCTATTTAAAGGCAGGTTGCAACCCTCTGGCCGGCACCCAAATATCTGCAATCCCTTTCCTGGGTAAATTATTTCCTGTCTTCCATTATTCCTAGCAAAGTTGTTAAAACTCACTCCTGACAGTTCCTGCCTGTGGCAGCGAAAGAAACCGGCACCTCGGTGTTGAGCCAAGCACCTGCTCGTTCAGTGCTTCTCCATCCCGCTCGCATCGCATCCACCAACCTGCTGTGCTTCACATACGAAGCAGATCTCTGAAGAGTACAGATGAGAGCTTGCACATCTCACACGCACGCCGTATCCAATTTTCTTTACTCCTTCGACTCTCTTGTGTGCTGAGCGGACTTTTCCACTGACTGTTTGATTGATGGATATTCAAAAGGCATCTTTATGAGCCCTATAAATAATCCCTTAAAGGTTTTTCTTTTCTTCCTCCGTCGAAAGATGCCACTTGATCACTTGTCCAAGCGGTGGTCCTTGTCACACCTCTCCTGGTTGCTGTTTGAGCAGCGCCTGCTTGGTGCCTGCCTGGCCCTTGCCTGTGGCTTCGGGGCCGCCTGGTGTGCAGCATCGGGCGTGTGGCTGCGTTAGCCTCGCAGGGCATTGTTCTCTGCTTGATTCTCTAAAGCTTAACTTGGCTTTTTTCATCAGTGGTTACTGGCACATAACATACTTTTTACTGGGGGTGGGGTGGAAGCAGACAGATTTCCCATTCTGAAGTTTGTGTGCATGTAAAGCCACGCAGACGCCTTCCCAGCACCCACACCATCCATGCCCTTCGGTCGAGAAGGCACAGCCCCGTTTCCCCCTTTGGCTAACAGGTGCCCTCGATTTCAGCAGCCCTGTGCTGATCCACGGTTAGAGACCAGAGGGTCCTACACTAAATCCTGGGGCGAATGTGCAGAAGGGGATGTGCGGGGAGCTGCGAGCTGGGGCTGAGGAGCTGTGGGCACTGGGGCTCAGCCGCTTCCACCTGCAGCACTCTGCAGGCGCTGCCGCCGGCAGCAGCAGGAATGGCTCCACTCCCCTTTTTAGACTCCAAGACTCTAATTCTAGCTGACACAGTGTGAAGTTTCATTTTTTTTTTCAATTATTGCATGATTTGTGGTGGGATCAGTTTAAAAGAAACTTCCCTCCCTATGTTTTTATACCCACCGAGTTCATTGTTTGCAAGAAAAACTGTTGGGACAATAGGAGGACCGAAGGGCTGTCTCCTGAGCAATGTATCTAGCCATGCGTTTTACAAGTGTCGTACTACCTCTTTTTCATCATGGCTTTGATTAATATCTGGCTTTTAAAATATAGGGGCTCTTTTCATAAGAGCCACTTTGTGTGTCTGCTGTTTGCCACTTGACAATGAGAACTGGATCAGACTGGGCAGGTAGGGAACAGTGAGACGAGTAAATGACAGAGCAGGTACACATTAAATGTGACATCAGATGTGACTATTGTTAGGGTAATTGAAGAGGGTTGTATACGATCCTGATGTTCATTTACGTGAGTGCTTCCTTACTCTGCTCAAACAGCATAAAGAGGCCTTTGGAAGGAGCATGAATGATTCCTGTGGCCGTGTTACAGGTGGCGCAAGGGGACTTTACACCAGTGAGAGTCAGTCTGTACATATTTAAAATAAATAGATGTGCACATAAAAAAATAACCCCTATTATTACACAAGGATGCAGTGGGAGTACCAGGGGAATGGCTAAAGTAACAAAACTTGACACCAGTGATAATAAAAGAGGGAACTAAAGCAAAGAGATCACCCCAGCCTGCTGGGTTTTGAGTGCTTAATCAAAACTGACTTCTACTACTGCAGCTGCAAAAGAAATGTTTCTAGCTTCCCATTAATTTCCATACAATAACCCTCTAATGGGGGAGTTGCAGGGGAGAGGAGGGCGATCAATCTGCCGTAATGACACACTAGAGACTAAGGGAAAATGCAAACTTGGAGCAATTTCATGGCAGGTGCAACCTTGGAAAGTACGGCCATTTTTCTAAGTTAATTTGTTCCCCTGATATGTTTGAAATCCATATTTGTACTTTAAAGGTCTAAAATGCAAGATGATTAAAAAGTATAACTAGATTTTTGTAAGCTTTTCAACTGTATCAGGTGATATATTAAAGCCCCTCCTTGGAGCTAGGACAGCTCGATATCTTTTATCATTTGCTGCCAAAAAAAGGAATAGGATTGTTTATTCCAGCATTCAGTTTCTGTCTTTACCCTTCCCATTTACCTCCCTAGCCTGATGCTCATTTGTCTCGCAGCTGAATTGATCCCTGGTACCATAAGAAATAATAGTAGTAATAATGCTAAGTGTAGTAGCAGTAATAATTATTGTTATTGTTAGCAATATCACTACTATATAATGATAACGATCACTGTGGCTTAAAGTTTTAAAGCTCTTAAATGAGTTAATTTGTGTGGCACATTGGATGCAGCTTCCCACCGCAGTGAGTTACAAGGACCCGTCCGTGAGCTTGGTGCAC